GGTTCGGACGGCGAAGCAGCTACGAGCCAAGTGTCGAAGTCGAGCAAGAACTCGCGTTTGGTTGATTGCATTATGAACGCCTTGCCTGCAGAAAAATCCGAAGCAAACGACGTAGCGCAAAGCGCGCACGAAACGCCATTTTATTGCGAGCAGTGCGCAGCTGCACGGCTTTCAGAAGCGGAACAGGTGGGCTGCAGCGAAATGGAAGATTTGAGTAACAAAGTTGTGAAGCGCAACCTGATATTCGAAGCGTTCAAGACTAGTCTCGCAAATTTCAGTCTGACCAGTAGCTCGGTTTCGTTGCTAAACAAGTCGCCCGCCGGCTTGACCTACTACACGACGCTTCGTCTGGCGCTGATTATCTTGACCACGCTGTTCTTTCGCTGCTTTAGCATATTGTACCTGCGTTCCTACCTCGAGTACGATCCCATTCTTATTATCCAACTCTGCTATACCGTTGTCTTAATACTGCTCTCCGCGGGCATGTCCAGTTTTCGCGCTTTTCTGCTGCAAATCGCGCTTAATAACGTGCAGCTGTATTTCACCAACGAACTTTGGCTGCGCATTGCGGAAACTGGCTGCCTTGGCACGGCAAAGACTGACGCTGCAGATGTGGCTGCGATGTTTCAGTCGGGCACAGTCGCAACCGGAACTGCACCCGCAATCGCAAGCGGATTCGCAAGCGGATTCGCAAGCGGATTCGCAAGCGGACCTGGCACCGGAACTGGAACCGCATCAGACTTTCCGCCTTTGAGCACACTGCCTCGGATTGCGTTCAACCGGCGCCTTGCGCAGCTGCCGCTTCTGTACTACGCGTTGACGCTGACGCTAGTCTGCTACGAGCTAATAGGGATGATTTTCTACGTGCAGTCAAGCTTGCTGGACAGCCGGATTTTGGTGCTGCGCTTCAAGTCGGAGAAAGAATCGGCAAACAATTTCAACGTGAAAGGCATGGAGCACAAGGCCGAGTCCACCGCAAACTTCGAAGACGAAGTGGTGTACGTGTCGAGCCGGAACGTCGTCGCAATGTTCGGCTGCGCCTACTTCATGACGCCGGTCACGTTGGCAAAGCACGTCGTGAACACCGTTTCGCTCACGAACTCTGTTCGACTAATCGAGTTGATGCGCGCGCACATGGCGTCGAAGCTGTTGTTCCAGTTCGTCACGGTTTCGGCGTTTAGTCCGTTGTTTGCCGTCCAAGCGAACGGCTATGTGTTTCTCACTGTTGCAGCGGTAGTTTTTGCCGGCAAGCTTGCGTATTTCTTGCGCGCGCACCAGTACTGGCAGAACTCCGTGCGTTACTTCCACCACATCCGGGCAGCGCACGGCTTGCTCTACTAGTCATTCAGACTTTGAATGCTGGTGTGGCCTTGCAGGTTGACGCAGCGGAAAAGCTTGACCGCTTGCTTGTAAAACACTTCGCGGTGCGAAATGACGATAAACTGACTGGATTTGAACATTTGCTTCAATAGCTTGCCGAAGTTGCGCGCGTGCTGGATGTCCAGCGCGGCGTCAACTTCGTCGAAGATGTAAATTGGCGCTGCGTTCAGCTTCAGGAGCGAAAGAATGATCGCGAGCGAAATGAGCGTTTTCTGCCCGCCAGAGAAGCTGGTGAAGTTGGAGATTTTGCAACCGTCCAGCGAAATGTCGAGGTTGATCCCTTGCGTGATGTCGTTTTCGTTTAGCTTGCTTAGCTGGAACTGGCTCTTCGGCAGCAGCACGTTGCCCACGGCGCTGAGTTGGTCGCGAAACACTGCGAAGTGCGACTCTTGCGCGTTGCGGATCTTCTTTTCGAGCGACTCGATGAGGCAGAGCAAGTGCGCTTTTTCTTGTTCGACTTGCTCTTTTTGCGCCAAGATGCTGCGGTGATGCTCGGAGAACGCGCTCAGCCGCTCGATGAGCGACTTGTCGACTTGTTGTTCAAGCTGTTGAACCTCTATTTCGAGGTCGGTTATGCGCTGCTCAATCTGCGTCGCGCTCGTGAGCTTCGCGCTCTCGCACTCAGCGCTCGCGAGCTCGCTATCCTCGCTTGCTTTACGTGCGGTGGCGGCGGCGCGCTGTTTCTCGGCCAGTCTGCTGCTCAGATCTGAAAGCCGAGCAGCAAGCGTTTCGCGCGCGTCGTTCAGCGAGTTGAGTTCTTTGTCGTTTGCCTTCTTCGCAGCGAGCAGCGCGCGCGACTCGGCAGTCAGCTGTTCGACGCGCGCGGCGCGCTCGTCGCGCTGCGCGCCGAGTTCGGCGAGTTCGGCTTCAGCCTCGCGCACCGCGACTTGCAGCGCTTGCAGAGCCGCTTCCGTCTGCGCCACCTCGACAGCGAGCGCGTCGCAAAGTGCGCGCTTCTGCTCGAGTTCGGAAGTCAAGTGCGCCACGCGGTTTTCGAGGATCTTTGCGAGGCTGCGCATGTTTTGCGAGCTGTGCTTGAAGCGCTCGTCGAACTGCGCCTGAATTTCTCTTCTCCGTTTTTGCAGGTCGACTAGCGTTTGGCGCGCCGCAGCGACGTGCAGTGAGTGGTTCTGCAGAAAGTCTTTTTGCAAGTCTTCGTTTTTTTGGATGCGTGCCGCGACGGCCGACAAGTCGTGCGCGAGTTGCGTTTTTTCTCTTTGGCAGCGAAGCAGTTCCTCTTTTGCGACCGCGACTTTGTGGTCGTTCGTCATGCTCATGTACAAGCTGAGCTCCTTCTGTTTGGTTTCAAGCGTGGCTTGTGCATTGGCTATTTCCTGGCTGAGCATCGTCGCGCGTTGATCACGTTTCAGCGCCTCGGCGTAGTCGGAGCGGAGTCGCTCGAGCTGCGTTTGCAGCTCCGCGCGCTCGCTCGTGAGGCGTAGCAGAGAATGGCGGTTCTCGATTAGTTTGTTCATGCCAACCGAGCTGCCGCCCGTCAACTGCCCGCCCGGGTCGTAGCAGGTGCCCTCGAGCGTGTAGACGCACACCGGCCAGCCTTTCATCGTGCACAGCTTTTGCGCGGACGCCGTGGACTTGGCGAAAAAAGAGTTCGAATACACATATGCAAGCACGTTGCCGTAGCGCGGGTCGTAGTCGAGCAGCTCGGAAAAGTGGTAGACGTCTCCGAGGCTGCGCGCGACGTCGCTCCAGCAGCTTTTGGGCCTGGCAACGTGCACGCGGTTCATAGGTAAACAAGTGATGCGGAACTTTTTCTGCTGCGCGAAGCTGAAGTAGGTGTCTACGTGCTGGTCGTGCTGCACGACGAACTGCAGCAGCTTCGAGCGCGCGCACTCTTCCAGCGCGAGCGCGTAGTGCTCGAAGCCGCGCTTGATGCTGAACAGGTCGCACACCAAGCCTTCGAGTACGCCGTCGTGGCGAAAACGGTCGAGAACGGCGTTCTCCCGGAAGAAGCGCTGCCCCGCGGCAGCCGTCTCGCTTTCGAGCTGGTCCAGCCGGTTGCGCGCCTCGTTCAGCGCGGCCTTCGCCGTCGCCAGCCGCGCAGCGCTGTCTGCGAGCGCGGCTGCCTCCGCTTGCGCGGCCGCGATTTGCGCCTCGACCTGCGAGATTTCCGACTCGAGGCCGGCAACGACGGACAGCGTTTCACCGCTGCCAGTTGCGGCGGCAATTTGTGCTTCGAGGCTGTTCACCTGCGCCGCGAGCTGCGCGTCGCGGCAGAGCAGCTCGCGCTCCTCGCGCTTCAGCGCGTCAACCGCGTTCTGCACGAGTCCGCCGTTTTCGTCGACGCACCTGCAGTTGTAGACGTTGTCGAGCTTCGCCTCGGACTCTTGGATGTCGCGCTCGACCAGTGCGAGCGCGGCCTCGAGCGTCGCCTGCTCTTCGAGCTTCGCCGTGTTGGCGTTGCTGAAGCCGGCGAGCTCGCTCGCCGCAGCGTCGAGTTCGCTGCCCAGCAACTTGACCTCGTCGGTGAGCGCGAGCTGTCGCGCCTTCAGCGGCAACAGGCGCGCCTCGGTCTGGTTCGCCTCGGCGGTCCGCTCTGCCAGACGTGCCGCGAGCCGCTCGCGGCGCGACTCGAACTGCAGCGCGCCGAGCGCCTCGTCCGCGCTCTGCAGGGCCGCGTTCAGCTCGCTTGCGCGCGCTTGCAGCCGCGCGCCTTCCTCGACGCGCTGCGCGCGCTGCGCGTCCGCGCCGCCCTGCTCTGCGCAGAGTGCGCGCTGCTGCGCCTGCAGCGCCTCGATCTGCAGCTCCAGCGCGTGCGCGCGGAGCGCGAGCAGCGCGCGCCGCCGCCGCTTCCAGCGCTCGTACAGCGAGCGCTGCAGCTTGTAGTTCTCGAAGAACGGGTTCAGCTCTTCGCTGATTTGCGTCTTGATCGCAGCGAGCTCCTGCTCCTTTTCGAGCAGCGACTTGTTGCAACGCTGCATTTCTTTTTTGATCGCGACCGTGCCGAGCGCCTCGCAGTAGAGCGCGAAGATCGCCGCGGAGTTCGCGGTGCAGAGCTGCTGCACTTTGCCCTGCATCACCAGGAAGTTGCCGCTGTTCACGTTGATGCCGCCTTCCAGCAGCAGCTTCTGCACCTCGATTTGCTTCTTTTGCGCGCCGTTCACGTACACTTTCACTTTGCCGTTGCTGTGGATCACGCGCTTCAGCGTGATCGCGTCGCTCGCGCGGTACTGT